AAATGCAGACCTGAATTTTGAAGGAGCCGTCAGCCCAGTTTGTTTTGGCAGCTTTACCACGTTTGAGAAAGAGGAGGATTTGCTGAGAACATACGTAAACAGTACATTCCCCATAGCTTTAGTGTTTCAGTTTGTTTTCAAAGCAGAGTGCATGGTGCAAGTGAAATCTAGTAGTGCTGTTACTATTTTTTTTTTCCGTCCTAAGGGAGGTGCCGGGTTCGCTTGTCATTGATACAATGATGTGGGTAGGAATGCACGGGAGCGTGACACAGCAGGGCGTTCTGGGTAACACTCGTCCATTTTGCCAGAAACCATCCTGTTCCTTTTAACAGTTGTGTTCTTGCTTTGCAGCTAGTGTTGTGCATTGCAGCAGAACTTATTCCGGTTAATTTAGCAAGAGGTGGTTTATTTATCAACAGGAAAAGTGACTTGCCTGACAGATGACTATAAACATACTAGGTCAACAGCGTCTGGGGACCGTGTAGTGTACAAACTACCTTGTGTGACCTCCCGTGCTGCTTCGTTGTATGAGCAAGGTGATTTTATGGGCAAGTCTTAGAAAATTGCTGTTCCCCCTAAGCCCTTGCCGACACATGGTTCCCCTCCCACGCCACCCTTTCGCTTCCTCTGTCTTGGTCTGCTCACTCTCGGTCCATATTGAGGCATTCTTGGGTGAAAATCAACGGCTGATGCGTTTAACAGAGTTCTAGTAGCGGTGTGGCAGGCATTGAGTTGCAATACTTTTATTAGGTTCCCTATGGTAATAAGACATCAAGTGGTTACGTGTGTCATCTCTGGTTTATTTAATAAATAGTTTTTCACTAGAACCTGGTGTCAAGTGTCCTGTTGCCTCATTTATAGGCCTCCAACTACTGTGTCCTCCAAGATTCTTGTTAGAACCGTACGTCTGACTCCCATAAGATACGAGCGTAGCATCTCTGTTTTGGGACAAATACTGAGCTGTTGACACTGACAAACTGATACTGATGAAGTTGCTTTGTCCTTTGTTTCTTCTTTGAAGTTTTTTTACTCTGGTTTGCCCCATCTAAAACTAGATTGTAAGCTCTTGAGCAGGAACAGTCTTCGCTTGTAAAAATTCCCTTCTGTAAAAAAACCCAAGTCTACTGAATAAAACCAAAACATGAAGCTAAAGCCGCAGTTCAGTGCGGTGCTGTTAGTGGTGGTTCAAAGCATGTGTAGCATTACTGCGGTATGCCTGTGCACGGGTGTTCAGCCTTGGCATGCCCTAGCTGGTGCTTAGGGCATCACATGCTAATAAAGTACTAAACCAGTGTTCGTTTCTGATGGATGCTTCTCCAGAAAAGGTACAGATTTAAGAGCAGGCGGTGGCTGATGCCTCTGCTGTTGCTACTAGCAATAATGGGGGAGGTAATTGTATGCTTGGTGATTTCCCCACCACACAGTGTGTTTTCTCTATGTTTAATCTGACCTTTTCTAACCTCGGTAACCTCTTACTTTTCATTGTTAGTGTAGTGCAAGTGCAGTTTACCACTGAAATGTTATGGGCTACTTAATTGCTTTACCATGGGAACAGTAATGAGAATGCCTACATTGGTATCTGTGTGGGTGTGTTGGTTTTTTTTTTTTTTTCATCAACCGCTAAATCAACAATCCTCAGCTTTGCAGTTTTCTAGCAGTATAACGAACCTTAACAAAAAGCGTTTTCATTGTTCCTACTTCAGAGAGATGCTTTTCTCCACGATAGTGTTCAGTAAGGTAGAATGCAGCCCTAGCAGCTTTTCCACTAGATACCCGGCTCCGGAGTAAGTTTGATACTGTGTCATGTCTTATTTTACTCAGCACAGTTCCTGGTTTGTACACTGAGGAGTTTGGTTTCATCAAAGTTACGGTCTATCAATAAGAAAGATGAGATAGATGTCAGCTGGGGGTTTCCCACCTTTTACAGCCGTTTTGGTTACAAGTTTTCTTTAACAATGCTGTTTTTCTGAAAGGACCTCGACTCCTCTACTGTGTCTCCTCTGTGTATATAGGTTGAAAATACAGTCTAAGGCCATTCTAAGAAGCACACTGAAAGTAGCTTCAGGAACCCCTTGTCTTGGGAGGAAAGCTTGCTATAAAACCTGCTCTTTCCTCATCTGGCTAGTCCAGCTTTCACAAATAATGTAAGGATATGAAAATGTAAGGCACAGCCAAGACTAAGCAATGTTTGGGGGTTTTTGTTTTTCTTCAGATGTAGACTGGTCACAGAAAGGGAAGACACTTCAAAAAGTGTCAACAGTTTTTAGGCGAAATTTAATGGCTCTCTACTAAAATTAAAGGAGGGGGGAACAAGCCAAAAAAAAACCCCAAACCAAACCCAACAGAACATAGTTCTGAATTCTGCCTTCAATTTTTGTGTGATCTGTGGGTAAGCAGCTGAAGGTTTGAGATAACCATGTAGTACACCCAGATGCAATGCTCGGTGTCAGTGTCAGCAGCACTGGTATGACTCATGGTCCACCCAAAATTATTCATTCACCTGAGAGATCTTGAATAGTTGCTAGTTGAGTTTCATATATAACCCTCTTAGAGAAATAACAGTTATTGAACAATGGTGTAAGTGGAATGAGCTGAGAGCAGTGCCTGCCACTGTCCGAGCTGCAAATTTACAGGTAAGGGAAGTCGATATGGTGGGTTTGGCGCTGTCAGTTGGGGTACGCTGCTCTCCGCTGGCATTGCCGAGAGTGCCAACCTGCTTTCTTATCTTCAGCATGTGCCAAAATCTGACCGTGTAGCCCTTAGCCGAATGGGAGTATGCTGCGCTTCATCAGTCGCTGGCTTTGCGTGAGTTCTTGCAGCTCACTCTGGCTGCTACTGAAGGAGTGGGCATCGGGGGGTTGGCTTCACCATCCACAGCCCCCCTGGACTGTAGAATCTGGTCTTGTGAGGCCCTAAACCTAGAAATACTTGAGTTTCTGTTTTTTATCAGTTACGGGCCTAGTTTAATGTCTGTCAAAATTTGTGCATGTGGGCCATGAAGTAGACTTAAAGCCCTGGTCCTGCGAAGGCTGCACGCATGGACTTTAAAATGCTTATTACGGCATTTCATTAAAAGATGACAATCATGCTGACTGACTGAAACATTTATTTATTTCCCCACCCCTTCGGAACTAGAAACAACATTCACAATTCATCATACGTATCTGTTACCTGTTGCAGGCTTTGGTTGAAGTTCAGGAACCAGCTATTAGATAAATTCCTGGATACCAGGATATAGATAGATAGATAACTGGATACCAGTTGGGATAGATGCCGCTTTCACAGCAATGCTTAACCAGCAGCAAGAAATCTCAGGGCCTCACTAATGAAAGTTTCCACTATGAATTTACGCTAGCAACTTGAGGCTGTAGAAAAACTGATAAATAAAGCAGCTGCACGCATTTTAAATAAATGTTAATACGTAACGCAGAGCAAATTGTTTTGAAATAGCCGATTTCGGTAATTCGGTGCATTTTGCACTCTGAGGCAACGCTTCCTTCTCAGAAAATACCACTTGATGCTGCTGGTTACTGTAAACACAAATGCAAACAACATCATTTATGTGCTAATGGCATAGTTTATTTCTTCAAAAGGTATCATTTGGCATTTCAACTTGTATTGCATATATATGTAGTTTTTATGTTTGATGCAAGTATTTCTTTTCACATACCTGACCATAAAGTTGCTACATTGTCATCAGACCGTGACCAATTAGATTTATTTTTTTATAATGCTTTTACAGACTTTGTTTATAAAAGATACAAAAAGTATTTATTGCTATCTAGTTGTTACTATTAGTAATGATTTTAATACCTTACAAACTAGTACGCCTCTTAACATTCCTTCTGTATCATTACATGCTTGTTTCTCTTTTAGGCCTTTTTTTTTTTTGCAGACCCTTTTTTAGGTTATTAGATAGAAAAGGATAAACTTGTGAATAAGCATGTAAGTGAATAGAGTACCTTTTTAATAGCACAAATAAATAAATAAATAAACCAAAAGCTCTTCTCTTCATTCAAAGCCACCATGTAACCTCATTATCACTAGTACAGATAAAAAGTCATTTAGTACAATATAATTTGCTTTAAAGATTTGGGGGAAATTGAAAAGAAAAGCAAAAGATACTTAGACAATACTCAATTTTTAAAAGCTAAAAAGGAAATCTTTAGTAGTTCTCCTTGAGGAAGGTATCCAAATGGGAGCGGAAAGGGAGGGCACAAAAATAGATGCATCACAGACTAAGAAACAATAGGAACTCCTTCACCATCACTCACTTTTATGGAAGCAACTTGGGAATGATTCAGGTGCAGAGGATGAAGGTAAGACAATATTGACCATATGAGCTGTAAAATTAGTTGGTACGTTATGTTTGCTTGGAGCTATGATGGTGAAAGTAGTGAGACAAATGCAATGGCTTCCTGGGCCTTTCCTCTGAGGAAAACTAGGAGAAGCAGAACACTTCTGAACAAATGCAAAGCATGGTAGATCTTTTAGTAATACATGAATCCACAGTGAATTTAAGGTGAAGATGAACTTCAGCTACAATTTTTCTTTCAGTGCTAAAAAAGAATGGTAAAATAAGGTCACTTCGTATATGAAGAATCCAGTGCTCGCAACTAAACCACGTTTTTCTTCCATCTGTAAGTTTGAGCTAAAGCTTGCTTTTTTTCCCTACTGATGTGTCTTTTCCCCCCCTCCCCAGAAACTAGAGTCCTAGTTTTACACAGGCCTATAAATGCAGTATTTGCAATTCTGTTTATACTGATGGTCTAGCTCCTTTGGTTCTAATTAAAACTAAACCTATTTCCTCGTTTGCTTCTCAGCTGGTAGACTTTCTAACAGATCACAATGGGCATGGTTTGCCAGACCCTTGAACACACAGTCCTCCTCAGCTGTAGTCTTTCCTGCTTGTACTGCTGTAGTCGCTGACCTCCAGTCTTCACGCAAATATCCTTATCGCTATTTCAGGGAAAATAAAACCTAAGTGATCTTCAGCTGTCTTATTTTTGCTTCTGCTCTTTTTTGTTATCTTGTTTCTGTTCTGATTTGACTAAGTGTTTGGGTATTACGAAAACGCTGCCATCGCTACTGCAATGAATGACGTACTGGCGTGGGTTAACAGGTCTACCCTGGTCATCCCTCAATCTACTGAAAATGTCACGGTACAAACTGTTTAACTTTTGCTTCATCCGGCTGATTGATCTGCTACACTGAGAGTGCTCTTTTTTAAGGCTCTCCTTTTGTGTTTGAAGATTACGCACGTCTTTTTCCAAGTTAAGAATTGCATTTAGTTTGCGTTTACGACAATTCTGGGCAGCAACTTTGTTTTTCCCTCTTCGTCTGATGTCACGTAGGAGCGATACCTGCGTATGTGCCAGATGGTTCTTTGCTAGCATGGTGTTGAAGGACTCGACAGGCATGCTCACAATTTCATCAATTGGAAACGGTATTCTCAGAGCTTTCGCACAGCATTCATCGCTACTAAGGTTTGTATCAGTAGAATTGTGGCAACTATCTCTTACTTCACTTGGTTTCTCCATCCGCATCTGTTGATGATGCTCCAGGGTGGATGCTGCTTGATTTGGCAGCTGATTATATGTGGGGTTATGAAGAAACTGCTGAAGTGTGGCTTCTCTAGAACACTCTGAATCACCTGGATATTCCACATGGCCATATTTAGTGTGTTCTTGGCAGTGACCATCAACAGCTCCTAAGCCATGCGAAGAAACAGATTCAATGTCGCTGCTGTACCCAACAGCACCTTCACTGCAGAATGAGTAAGAGGCGGTGCTGTGACTTGAATTCAAAGACAGTCCCAAATCTGCGCCAGGTTCTTGAAAGAGCTGAGAAATGTTTATAGGCTCAAAACCTTCCCCCAAAGACATGAGTTTAATTTCATCAAAATTATCATTATGGGCTGTTGGGTTTCTAATGTCAGCTGCTGAAAATAGCCCTGTCAAATCTGACCCATGAGGTAGTGATCCCAGATTTGTGATATTAGAGGTTTGTAAATGTCTTGTTTCTGAATGTGATTGAGTGGGGTAGCCTGTTCTTAGTTGCATGTCATCATGAGGACTGAAACAGTGGCGAAGCATCTGTGTCAAGTTTATATTGTGGGGTGAGGATGGTGGGTCTCGGCCTCTACAAGAAGGAGCAACTTGTACATCTTCCAGTAAACTCACCTAAAAGATGATGGGGGGAAAAAATGGGATCTTTTATAAAACAAATGCCTCTACATTCCTCACCTACACACTTTTGATCAATATATTTTTTAATATTCCACTGTTTGAATATATTCAAGTCCAAATTTTACATGTTAAACTCTTCTAGCTATCCTGAATACTGTTTTCCACTTGCGCAAAGCATAACCTGTGTTGGCATATGGCAAGAGGAAGCAGGAAGGGTGCAGAAGAAAAGTGACTGAAGGGATGGGAGGAGGAGGACTCATGAAGGACAGTGTGTTGAGTGTTAAGAGGTGGAAATGGGACTGATGCGAAGTGTGCATCAAACTACAGTCTGCGTGTTATGTCTGAGTTAGTCTAAGAAAAGGTCTTTCTAGGAGGGAGGGTCCTGCCCCTTCCCTGGTATTGATAACCATCTGATTCCAGGGTGAGCTGGTTCGGGGTGCTAGACTGTTAGAAAATTCATCTTGTAAAAAAGATAAATAGCTCACCTGCAGGAGTTACCCAGTGGTGTGAGAAACAAGGTGGGGAGGACAGGAATGTTAAGGTCACTCTGTCACAGTCTCACTGCTTTTCTTTCACAGGTTATAAGGCTTGGGTGGCTGTGAGCTGCCACATTTGGCTTAGTTCCTTCTTAACTGAGGTCTATCGTGTTCAGATTTCAACTCAACTCCTTTACTAATCAGTTTGGATGAAACATCCCCCTCCCAAATCACACCTCCTGTGGATGTCTTTTGACTTTAAACTACTCCTCAGTTTTTCTTTACAAAAACAAAGCTGCTGTACGATCCCTCAGCCCTGAAGCTCAGATGATAAACGAGTGCTGCAGTAGCATTAAGGCCCACCTCTTGTGGGCCTGGGTTATAGTTGCTGGCTCCTAGAAGTACAAAGCCACTACGCAAGCATATGCCAGGGCACTTGCTGACAAGCAGAGTAGTCATAAAATATATGGATACAAAAAAGTCAAGAATGTACATCAAGCAGGAAGTGTATGATACGATGTCTCTGTAGCTGAGCATCCCTACTGTGGTGCAGGAAAGGACTTTTCTGACTGCAGTTCATTGAACAGTGTAAAAAACGCTTTCCACAGGGGAGGAATGATATACTGTGAAGACCAGGATGCCTTACGTTCCCTACTATGCTTACTGGGAGCTCAGGTAACAGAAGAAAGTCTTGCTTTATTTCTCCTAGGGAGTTACCATGTACTAGGCAACCTCTAGTCTGTGAGACAGAGCTGGTATTTTCAATTAAGCCCTTGAAAAGAAATATTCTTAGCTAGTTTACTATTAAAAAATCTCCCTCACTGTAAAGACTCAGTACCTGGAAAAAACAAGCAATCCATTTTCAACCGATAGATTGTCACAAGATGGCAGTGCATTAATAGTCTTAAATAAAATATGCAACTGTGTATTGTTATAGCTACAAAAGGGCTACAGCCAAATTCCTTACAAATTATGAAAAGAGCAGAAAAAACTAAACTGATGAACTTCTGAACCTTGTTAGAGTGGAATCCATTACCAAAGCTGAAGAGAGGAGAAGGCTAATTTATGGGCTGGGAGGCACTATCCAACCTAGAGATTCCCAAATCTAGGTGTTCCAGAGATAAAAAATGAAGTTACACGGAAAACACTAATGACCCTGGAAGGCTCCTGCAATGGGAAGTGTATGTACGATGCCCTTGGAGTATTGCAAAAAAAAAATTAAAAAAAAAAAAGTGTAGGGAGTAACTTCATGGTTAGTGATTGCAGCTATGAGCTGTGGGAGAGGAGGGAGACTCCAATCGAGGTAACAATTGTTTGTTTTTGTGAAGACGGGCACCCAGAAAGCAAAGAATAGTATCAGAAGCCCAGAAGATAACAAAAGAAAACAAAATGAGTTTGCTGCTAATGCTGACTGACCTGATTTGCAGCAAAGGGGGGGTCTATTCTTCTTGAGGGTAGTATTCTCGTAAACCCTTGACCCAGTATTTATGACAACTGTCATCTTTCACCACAAATGCTTAATAGCTGCTAGTGCTTAATAACTCAGTGTTGCTCTAGAGAAACATACCAAGCGCTGCTGTATAAACATGAATGGGCATTAGGTTTCAGAAAGGGAATTATTAATTGAACTAATTAAGTTGTCCAGCGGCTCCATCCACCTTGGAACACCAGGTCACAGGAAAGACAGGACTTTGTAGTTTCATATCCCAGACACGTTACTGGGGAAAATTTTTCAAGTAGAGCCAATGACAGCGGCTGTAAAAGGTGGACATTAGCGTCTTTACATCTTCAGGTAAGTTTTACTACATTGATTTGCTGGTACATTCCCTGGGGGTTTTCATTAGATAAAGCAGGGTAAGTCATTATCCAGTAATCGCTGACTGTATCCCAATCTATTAGTGATACATGTGTTTTCTCATTTACCTCTAGCGTGTTTTCCACCTGCGATGACAGAAGCTGTAAACAGCCCTCTAAGGAGAGAAGGGAATCTACATGGTTGTGGTTGCTCTGTGAGAGAGGAAACAGAAACGCTTTGTAAAGCACAGTTATTTTACATAAAAAGAGGCAAAAATCAAAGTCAGAGAGGAAATAGAGCACAGCTCTGTGAAATACTGCTGCTGACCCCACCATCAAGTCTTCATCCTGATGGGAGATGTCACGTTGCTAGAAGGAGCGGAACAACTCCACAGCAGGAGCATCCCTACTCTGCCCCACAACAGCAGAACTGGGCTTTCCGCCTCTCTGAGGCTGCACCTCCATTGTGAAAAAATCAAGTATTTTTTGAAAGCCCAGCTGCCAGGGCAGTGGCAAACAGAGGGGCTGGCAAGAAACCTGGATCCGATGTTCTCAGCTCTCCTAAGGTCTCAAGGACAATGAATGCTCTTTTCATTGTAGCTCTCAGAGAGAACAAAAGCCAAAGTGCACCCGTTTCAGTTTAACACCATTAAGACTATTTCTCTAGTTACAATGCATGTGTTAAGATCTGAACAATCCAGTTTCCCAAATGCAGTTCTACATCTGAGCAGCTATCTTTACATTAATGTGAAAGCAGCATGATTCAGCATCCACATCCCAAGTGTGGCCAAAAAGGAAATCCTTGCACACAAACACAATACTGTCACAATGGAGAAAATAAAATAAATTAAAAAAAAATAAAAAAGAAAAATGGTTAGTTGCAAGTCATTTCTGTAAAGTTTAGAATACTTCAACTGCATAAACTATACTGGAGGGGGAAATTTTCGTGGTGTATAAGGGTATCGTTTACAAAGTCCCGTCTGAAGTCAGTGTTCCTTTCCTGCTTGGTGGCATCAACTACCAGCATTCCCCTGGGGAATTTCCGTGCTGCAGTGGAGCAGGAGCTGGGGGCCAGGAAGGGGATCAGGCAGATGTTTTTCATCAGCTATAAGCACATTCTCTATGGGTACTTATAGGAATTTAGTGAAGAGGAAAGTAATTATATGAGTGTGTTCTTCCGAACAAAGATATATGTACACATGTATGCAGCACAGACTGCACCACACCAAAATTACTCTCGTCATCCTTCTACTAGCAGACTGTAGTGCTACTGTAGCTCTACAGTAAGGACTAGAAATCAATCCATATAATGTACAGTAAAACATCACAATTTTCTATAGAGGTCACATACACAGCACTGAGTCTCAATTAATACCACAATCCACAATTGTTTATAACACATTCAGTTTACAAGTCATAGAAACAAGTGAATACAAAATACTACTCTGATTTTTACCATACAAATTCTCGTTTATGATGTCTGTAACAAGATTAAATAAACATTAAGTCATTATTTGGTTTATGTGATTCTGGATAGATGAGAGGTTTTAAAGTACTTTCCCCCTTTCTCTCTTTCAAAAGTTTTGAAGGTAGAACAGAACAATGAAACTGAAATAACTTGGAACCACCTTGCAAAGGACATGCCCAAATGAAAAGAGGAAATTAAATATTCCTTTCAAAACCATTCACTCTGTTTCTTTCACTACTCTCTATCTCAGTGATAAGACCTATATTCTCCCTCATTTCCTTTTCACAGTTTTTCCTTCTTCCCATTTTTTCATCATTTACTTGATTTATGTCTTCTTTCTCCTTCTCCTCTTGCAGTTCCAGCTGATCATCTCCTTGGTGTGGACAACAGTCAGCCAAAGCTTCCTGACATGCTTTCAGGTCAACATCCTAAAGACACAAATAAAACAGTGCTATTAACATGCTGACTTCAAGTAACAAGCGATGGGACAAGGGGAAACGGCCTCAAGATGCACCAGGGGAGGTTTAAATTGGATATTAGGAAAAATTTCTTCATCGAAAGGGTTATCAACTATTGGAACAGGCTGCCCAGGGAAGTGGTTGAGTCCCCAACCCTGGAGGTATTTAAAAGACATCTAGATGTGGCACTTAGGGACATGTTTTAGTGGTGGACTTGACAGTGCTAGGTTTATGGTTGGACTTGATGATCTTAAAGGTCTCTTCCAACCTAAATGATTCTGTGATTCTATGCTGTCAAAATTAATCTTTAAAACACATTTCTTTTCTTTTCTTTTTTTTTTTTACATCTATAGGATTTCAAATAAAATATACACTGAACGGTTCATTCATGTGCATGGAACTGACTCTGTGTAGAATTTGGGGGCAGAATGAGACTGATGTCAGTTCAGACACCTCCTCCTCTTTTGGTGCCCAGGCACTGAACCCATCTACGGTAGAAATGGACGTTCATAAACACTGGAAACAAAATTATTCTAAACCAGACACATGATGATGTGATTTCATGGGAAGTTCTGGCTATCGCCGTCTTTTGGATGTCATTTCACAACAAGCCAGATATATACTCAGCGATGAAATCTTAAAATAAGCAATTATATATGGCCAAATAGCAAAATCCCTCACTTTTTCTTTCAGGAAAACAATCATATTAATATGTATTGTAATAGTGGCTCTCTTTCCCCATCACTTCTATGTGGTCAATGATGGGGGGTTTTTTAATCTCCAGCAATGAAATTGTTCTGATTTAGTGGTCTCAGTTATCTTTTATTTGTAGTCATATCATCAGACTTTTTATTATAGGGCTGGGATATTGCTAGGGTAAGAAGGAATCACTGCTAAGGACTCTGCATATTTAAAAATTTTAAAACTTTGCTATTTCAGCTTCTGTAGGGCAAGTCTGAGTTATTAAAATGTGAAACTCAGAGGAATGGAAGCCAGAAAATCATATGGCCACACTGCATTAGTTCCATATCTCCCCAGCAAAATGCTATGGCAGGAGCAGAAAAGACAAGCTCTCAAGAGCAGCAACTGTAACGAGTTACTGTTATGTTCTAAAAATCACAACAAATTCACTTTATAGGTTTTATATGAAAGCATAAACTTTATAAAAACTGCAGTTGTAATAGTCATCAAAATGTGTAAGAGTTTTTTGTTAATTATTGCTTCATACAAAACACATTAAAAATTAAATGTAAAAAGGTTTAAAAATAGCACTCTGGAGTAAAATTAAATATAATTTGAAAATAAAGTAATATTAATTTCATTTTTATGAATTCTACTAATATTTATTTCTAAATTATGAAAATCATTTTTTTATGATTTGTTGGCTTTTCTTTTTTTTTTTTTTTTTTTTTTCAAGGAGATAACTTTATAAACAGTCATTTGTAACAACAAATAGATATACTGGGCACTCATCTATCACTCTGATGTAAGAGGTACCTTCCTTCAATGACGACCAACACAATTTCTAGCTATTAAGAATTATATTCCAATATAGTGTGTCTTCTTTGTCAGCTGCAGTTGGAAATGACTAGATGACTTGTTATTGCCAAATACAAGCAAACAAATTTACTTTTCTAAACACACATACAAAACCACAGTTTTCCTCTATATAGTAGAACAGTAGGAGAGGGAAATTAGTGTACAAGACCCTGAGTACACGGTAACTAGCTATTTGCAAACACTTCAACAAGTTCAGTGGAGCTACTCACAGGCATGAAGTCAGTCCCATAATTACATGTTCGCAAGATCAGCACCAGTCTTTAATTTTTGCAAAGAACCAACCTAATACTTGTCCAATGAATATGATCAATTAACATCCTAATTAATAAACTTCATCATCATAAAAGCAGGTAAGAAGTCAAGGACAGTCACTATTAAAGACCGTAAGCAGCTCCTCTTGAGCTGAGTGCCCTGGAAAGCTGCTGCTGCTATGGCAGAGTATTCTGCCGTATTCTCCTGAATAACACAGCAAATTCATTACTCTACCAGCTGATGAAGAATCAAATGCAGGAAACGGTTAGAAATGTGATATCCATAATGTGATGCCTCAGAAAAACCCAACTGCAAGCACTGGTTTTGAATACAGAAAGTATACGGGTGAGAACTCAATGATTCCTATTAAAATTATGAGGGGTACAAACCCATCCTACCACCAGGGAAAAGAAAACTTGCGGTAACTTTGTGAAGAGCGCACCGTGTACCCTGCAGATCATTTGAAACCCTCACAGTTCAACTTGCTTATGGTGGGTATCTGCCTGCTGACAATGCCAGTCCGCTGGAGTCTACGATGGAGTTGGCTCTCCCCAGCACCATCGTGAGGACAACTGAATTTCCGATGTGCCTGATGGGATGGCTCCTTTCTGAAGAGAAACTAAATGCTCCCGAAGTTCATAGAAATTTGCAAAGGCTGTTATGGTTTCAGTTTCCCCGGGAAGTCAGAGACAACTGAATTTTTAGGTCTCTTCCTATCGATACATAGAGCTGTTGACCACTAAGGAGATGGGGACTACTTCTGACCGTGAATTTTAGAATTAATCTGGAGTCTGCATTGATTTTTATGCATCTTCTAAGAGAAAATAATGGCTTTGACTATTTACTCTGCTAAACCACAGACAGTGTGGCTGAGAGCCACCAACGGCACTACAGGATCACATGCCATTTTGTCCTAACAACCCTTTAGCTTTAGAACAGCACAGAGATCCAAGTCTCTCTCTGATCTTTGCACAAAGCTCCTGCTGATGTGAACAGAGGTCCCAGCGGGGATGGGAGGGAGGCAGGGGCTCACATTTGCAATCATGACCGTTCACTGTAATTTACCAAAGGGAATGTATCGTCTCTGCTGAATGAGCTTAATAATGCTGCACCGTGTGGCTTTGAAGATTAGTCTTAGTATCACCATTTCTTCCTCCAGCAGATGATACTAAAATACACTCATGCCTGCTCACACTGATTATTACCACAGGAAGTTATCCATCTTTTTAAAAAAACTGTTTTCACCACTGCCAGGACAGCGTCTGAAGGAGAATGGCCCTGTGACCAGCTTTTCACAACAGTGGTGATACAGATATAGTGTGTGTAAGATTGTTCACAGCACCAATTTCTATGTACGGGACCATTTCAGTGAAACGCTCTATGTGGAAATCCTGTAACACAGGCAGAAATTTTTCCCCTTAATTTCTCAGTTTTGGCTTTTAACAAAAATGCCCTGGATTACGCTGTTAAAGATTTACTCTCTGACATTACACTCCCCACCACCTTGTTAGTCCTTCCCAGTAATGAAGAACAGCTGAAAAATACCACTCAACAGCCAAACACTTCTTTCCATGCCCGTGCATCACTTGGGATTGATTGCTGGGCTACTGCTATGGGGAGAATAGGAGAGGTGCCTCCCCCAGAAACAGCCATACCACGTCTTTGGATAAGGCATCGCGTTAAAGATAGCTTAATTTTGCAGTTTGAATACACATATAAAGACAAAAGGGATTAGTTAAATACTACTTACTTAGCACTGCACTGCCACACTTAGTGTTTCTGTCCCGTTCCTTGTTTTGCATTAATGGTAACAAAAGAAAGAGTAATTGAGTTATAGTAAAACCAGTATGAGCCCAAGAGCCAGATCAGGACCACACGTGGGTGGTCTCTGTACAGAGAAAAAGACCGACTCTTGCTCATTGTAGGAGACTTACTGTTACCACCAAACTCACTGATTGCAGCAGCCTTTTCATTTCCACCACTGGAGGCTGTGGAAGTTCACACCTCCCACAGCGGGCCGTTTACACACCGTAAACTGCAACCCTACCTGAAGAAAACTTTCCATTGCATTTGGAAGGATCTCTGCACAAGCACAAGGCAGGAGATTTACACTAAAACTCCCCCACGAAAAAAAAAGAAAAAAAAAAAAACCAACAACAAACCAAACCAAACAAAAACCCCCACTCCAAAAAAAAGTATCTCAAATTCTAGTCTGGCTTCTGCCATTTACTAGTTTCAGTCAGGCTAGAGAACACAATCTGACACTAAGTCTGATTTAGTGAATTATCTGTCAGCCTTGTAGGCTGCAGGGCTGGGCTCTAACCGGGCATCTGCCCTTTCCCTAAGGTACAACCTACCACACATCAACTATCAGCTTCAGTTTGTCTGTCTTTGGCATATGCAAAATAGTAATTTATGTCAAATCTTCTACTTACAGTGGTTGAAGAATCAATGCGGAGGTGAGAGGAAGTATGATGTTGTGAGTGGCCTGCCCTATGTTTAATTGGAAGGATGTTGCTTGCTCTGGCAGTTTTCTTATTACATTAAAAATAAAGCCTTCAGTTTCCAATTAAGTACATTGGAATATAGATCTTAGCATAAATTGGGTGTACCGTACATCAAACTATCCCTCCACGTATCCCTTCCCTTTGCGTTCCCCACCCATATATTATTTGTTGTTGGTAAAACAGCATGTAGGGATGTCCTGGTTTGAGGTAAAACAGGACGAATCTTGTTCAATAACTATACTTTTTAGCTGGGCCTCTTCTAACTACTGAAATTAACAGCATATTGTGCAGACACTGTTCACTCTCAGAGCAGTAAGACCTATGTTTATGGCTGATGCCAAGGGATGGTATGCAGAGAGGCTCCTGCTTATACTCATTGCTGTAACACCCAGGGCCAGATAACTTGGTTATGTGCCCCATCGAAAGGTCGGCAGCAGAAAAGTGTAGAGGGGTCCACCTGCAGGGAGGAGCGGACAGGACAGGTGACCCAAAACTGACCAACAGGGTATTCCACCCCATCTGCCTCATGCTCAGTATAAAAGCTGAGGGATCAAAGAGTCAGTCTCTCTTTCTTCATCGGTCAGCGTCCGAGGAGGACTCTGTCTGTTTGTCTGCTTTTGATCCCAGTCCTGAATCCAGATCTGGAGTCCA